CCGGACTTTGCCATCCTCAGTCACAGGCTTCGGCGTAGGAGTCTCAGCACTGGGGAGGTCGCTCATGGGACCTGCCCAGGAATGGGCATATTGAGCAGGGACATGTGTCGGAACGACCGGATCGCTTGCGGGAATCGCATTCATCAGTTGCTCCAATTCACTTTGTGAAATGGGGGCAGGAGCCAAAGGCTTGGGGGCCTGTCTGAAACTCGCCCGCGATGGTGGCCTCGAGCCGGCCGCACTGGCAGGACCGCGAGGCGGGGCAGGAGCAGGAGCAGCAACTGCTTCCTTCGGAGTCTGCTCTGGCAAACCGTCTCTGGCCAATATGTTTTCGATCTGATTCTCTGGTACTGTGGGAGGGTTGATAGGAGAGCTGGCCTGGGCTGCAGCATCCGTTGCGCGTCTGCGCTTTGGCGCGTCATTTGAGATCGACTTTGCACAATCCTCCAAAGGAGTACCCATATCGTCATCCAAGAGATCATCCAAGCCACCACTCATGAAACCCGAGTCGGGATCGGTTACCATAGGTGGAAGGACGGGACTAGATGGATTGGGAAACCCACAATCCAAGACTGGAGGCGAGGAAGGCATACTGATTGATGGTTCGAACAGACCCTGGTAGCGCGGCTCCTCTGGCGAGTGAGAGTTGTCATCACCTGGATCATCACTCATGGGGTATGGTGAAGTATAGTTATTGCTCTGTACAGACGATTCGCGTAGAAGGCTGGGGGCCGGTCTCCCTCTGCGGGGAAGGTCGTGCGACCCAGAGATAGGCGTTGGCGGCCGGACAGGCTCCTCGTTCGAATTCTGGGCAGCAGCGATAGCGGGATTGACAGGGGTAGGACGGTGAATCCGAACAGAGGCAGCCGTACTCGCTGCGACACGCAAGGAGCTTGGCTGTCTCTCAATGTTAAAGTCAGATCTACCTGGCCAATCCGCTCGATACAGCTTGGCTCGCTTCCGTGGCTGTTGGTCGGCAGACTCATCACAGCTTCCATAACCTGACTGTACCGAACCCCGGCGGCTGCCATAGTGCGCATGCGAAGGCAGCTCAGAATCGCGCATGGAAGCACTAGAGGAAGGGCGAATTTCCCCGTGTGACCTTTCTTGCTGCACCAGCTGCTGAGGTACCTGCTGTATTTGAAGATGCTCATGATGTGGCTGAAGTTGACCAGGTGTGGACACCCTGCTTGGAGCGGCAAGCGCGGACTGCGCGGGTGATATAGACCGAAAATTTCCATTTGGAGCAATCGAAGACAATTCCCTCGGGGTGGATCCTTCGCTGAGTAACCGGTGAAACCGTTCGATTCCAGCGTGATCCATGGGTGATGTTGTGCGGTCAATTGGTTGCGTGTTGGAGGGACCCAACAGCCCGGGGTTCTGACGAAGAAAGACTGTCCATGATTGAGCGTCAAACTCATGAGGAATGATGTTGCTCAACTCCCGATATTTCTGCATGCTTTCGAGGTATTCGCTCTGCATAACAGTAGGTACTGGCACCAATCGCAGTTTGACCTCCAATGTTTCTTGTGCACCTTTTGAGAAGAGACCGAGCACATTTTTGCACACACGACCCGTGACCATAGTCTTCGATTGATGTGCTGGTGCGTTGGGAGTCGGAGAGGCCGAAGCAAGCACCCATGAGAGCATCCCCTGACCGACTAGCGGCGTCTCATATTCTGAATAGTCATATGCATATACTGTGTAGTCTTGTCCCAGCTTGGCCACGAGTTCGGGACTAGATTTGTCGAAGGACGATCCATTAGTATGATTCGGCTTAAGTTCAAGGACAGGGATTACCCACCTCGCAGACACAATGGCTTGAATGCACGTTTTTAGCTCAATGACACCAATCTGAGTTTGGTCGTCCAGGGATGCAGTCTGGATGTCGAGCAAGTGAGGCCACCGGGCAAGGCAATTCGTTTTACTCTCATCGTCAAACGTGTAGAGTACCTTCACTGCAATCCCGAATTCAATGGTTAGCATCAACAGACTGTATCTGACAGAGCAAACCCACGCCTCATAGGCCGGACGGATATTCCGTCCTGAGATTCCATGCCACAAGCAATCCAATCTCAACCATAAGCCAAAGTAGCTGTGAATCCAAAATAGAACTGGAGATAAATGACGTTCGGAGGTTTATGGGGAAGACGCAAGTGACTCGTTCAGGTGTGTCGGACGCTGAGGTACAAGGGAGAGGCGAGTGCTTTGGACGCGACGCAAGGTAGGAATTTCGAGCCGAACCCGCTCCTATCGGTTATTCATAGCCAGCCTTGATTCGATCGAAGCTTTGGGTCGACCCGGAGAATGCGCAGGTATGTATGATTATGCAATATGGGACGCGGGGGAAGTCGACTGGAATGTTCAACGTGGGACAAACAGGTAGGGGCTTCCTTGAAGCTTATATCGAGTGAAGACGGCGTGAAGAAGGAATTGAGGGAAGGAGTGAACTGAGAACAGCCTTTTCGTCGAGTGAGAGCAATATGACTCGTCAAGAAAAGGAAGCAAGGATGTAACTGAGGAGATGGTTGGAGAAGAAAGCAAGTTATGGGAGAGAAAAGCAAGCACGCCTTGCATTCGCACCAGACGCTGAGACGATCGCCTACAGCGTGTTGAGTGTTTGTGCCGACGCGACGTGACGCAGCCAATCGCGACCTCGGGAAGAGATGCCTGCAAAACACGGCAGACGCGTGGCACGTGACTCTCCCGTGCCAAGACTTGACACCAGGCTTGACCGCCTTCGACTAAGAAGCTGCTGAGGGCAGAGAGAGCGCAAGAGACAAGAAGAGAGAAGACCAGAGCAGCCAGCCAGTGCCTTTATATACAGCCACCATGTCGACCGATCCCAAGATTCAGTACGTACTTACCCCTCTTTTCTCTCCAGGGCTTCACCATGAGTCATTAATGGAATTCAATATGGTGTAATTCCGACCTCATTCTGTTCCGCCCATGCTAACCAGACTGTCTATCCAACAGGGATTTGCTGAACAAGCCCAAGAGCGAACTCACGTACGTGCATCCTATATTTGACCTTTCATCGTCGCATACCCTGTGCTCGAACGCATCGGACTTTGAATACGTCATGTGACAGTCACCCATGCGACGCTTCCCTATACTTGATCCTGTCCATCCAATTCGCACATCCACAGTACCGTGCTATCCCATCTCTTACGGCATTTCTCTGACATTGTGTTTCTCCAGTGAATATGAGGTCGCCTTGGTAGAAGAACACGAGCTCACAGCTGGCCCCCTGTCTCTTCTCCAAACCGCTACTCGCACCCACACTCAGGTTCTGATCTCATGCCGGAACAACCGCAAGCTACTAGCCCGAGTGAAGGCTTTTGACCGCCACTGCAACATGGTACTCGAAAACGTGAAAGAAATGTGGACGGAGAAGCCGAAGGGCGGAAAGGGAAGGGGCGTGAACAAGGATCGCTTCATCAGCAAGATGTCAGTACAGACCTTCTATATGTTACTATGAGTCACACCTCCTAACTCGTCCTATCAGGTTTCTGCGAGGCGACTCTGTTATCCTCGTTCTGCTGAGCTGAATGGTTATCACCCATCTGCATTTCACGTGACGTGCCCGACCAATTTGCCCTGGGGTCCTGCGCCAGTGCATCTTTCTTCGTCCGTGCTGGAAGGACACGAGGACGACGCATGATTGACATTGATACCCTTTTTCTCCAGTGGATCGCGAGGCGTCTCTTTGCCCGGTCAGGGTTGGGGGGGTGGACTGGGCAAATCTGAGTACGACCCTAGCTCTCTTTCGGGCCGATAGCATCTGTTCACCTCTTTGAGTTCCTCGTCTGGCTTTTGTGTTCATCTCATATGACGGGGTCGATCTGGCGTTTTATGGTTTGCATCTTTGAAAAAGTTAAGAGGTGTAAAGTAGTTTAGTGAGCTGGACGGTGCAGGGCCATCATTTTAGACTGGCATCCTGAATCTGAAGAGAAACTCATTATCAGTAAAGACTGGGGTGATTCAAATCTCCTAGGGAATATCAAGCATGATAAGCTGACCAGAGCACCGCTCTCTAGCATTTCTGGTCATCCTGAGTAGTATTACGAATTCTAGCAGTACTCTAATGGCCCGTGATTAGGAAGTAATAAAAGCATAAATCCAAAGCTAGCTCTACGCTTTCGTCGCTTGCTGATGATTCGCTGGTTCAATCCTTATTGCAGAACCATAGAGCAACATGTAGAGAAAGAGAAAACTTCAAATGGCTGGATTCAAGTGTAAGTGAAGAGGAACCGTATCTGTAGATTGCCTGTAGACATTCCGCATTTCCCAGCACGGTACCACAAGAGATGACGAGTGAAAGGACGGAAAAATGGCCAAGAACTTGCGCGAGGTTCATCCTATACATGCCCTCTTATGATTAGACATGGGAAAACCACGTTCATGGAGAAGTCAAGAAGGTAATTACTTGCCCTTCCGATAAAACATCATCTACGGAGAAGAGTTGGGCCAATGATCGTCAGGCCACCAATTTCCTCTCGCATCCGCCTGCAAACCTTTTAACTTCGCAGATGCGCTCTTCACTATTTTGACTTCATGGCTTTTTTATATGCACTTAGACAAACGATAGACCGACTATAAACCTGGTTGAGGGATTATATAATCCATAGCCATCATCGGCGAGGCCAGCATTTTACAGACCGGGGACCACTTACTACTATCCACTGCAATCAGGGCCGATGATGGAATCGCAGCCAGATATGAATAGTCATCAGGAAGACTCTCTGGAACCGGCCCAACCTCTTCTAGAAAGAGAAGCTTGCCCTAACGTACAGAGAAGTCAGACGGCAAGCTCTCGAAAAGTGTTGACGAGACTTTATGTCTCTCACTTCTTGTCGACATGGAACTCACGCATGTTTGAATTCGGCGCTGTGTTGTTCCTTGCTTCTATCTTCCAGGGAACACTGTTGTATGCCTCGATCTACGCGTTGGTGCGTTCTGCGTCGGCAGTGGTTCTGTCTTCCTGGTTAGGATCCAAGATGGATCGGTCGAACCGCCTGGTAGCGATCCGACATTCCATTGGTAGGTCGCTTCTCGTGCCAACATATTATTACTAAGTTAATGAATGGTTACATGATGGCTTACTCTTCTTAGTCTGGCAGAGAGTCCCTGTTGCAGTGTCCTGCGCATGCTTTGTAGCCCTTCTCATGCCTTCATGGCGAGAGTCTGAGCTTGTTGTCTCGGGTTTATTTCTTGCCGTTGTCCTGCTCGCTTGCATGGAGAAACTGGCAGCAACAGCAAACACGGTGGCTGTGGAAAGAGACTGGGTATGTCGTAACAAAGTGAATACTTCTGAGCAACGGACTCTAACGTCGGGTTAGGTCATCATTGTTTCAGACAACCTAGCAATCGAGAGGCAAGGTAGATAACTTAATATTCTGACGTTAATCTACATTGACTGACGCCTGTATAGATCTGAATGCATCGATGAGACGGATAGATCTATTCTGCAAGCTTGTGGCCCCTGTGGTGATATCGCTCTTCGATAGCTTGTCTACAAAGGTTGCGGTCTGGACGGTTTTGGGAGTGAATGTTCTTTGTGTTTTTATTGAATACATTGCCATTGCTCAGGTGAGTTCATCGTTTTCCGCCCTTTACACCACTTAAGCCTGACAGGATATCATATTAGGTGTACAAAGCGATACCGGAACTCCTGCGGACTGCTACAGTCCCGACTGATTATGGAAGTGTAGCTGTCGAAGATGCACCCGAACATCCCACGGCGAACCAACAGAGTTTGATTAAAAGTGCAATTCACCTGGCCAAACGGGCTGCTTCACCCTGGCGAGAGTATGTGGCTAGTCCCATCTTTCTGGCATCCTTTGCCTTGAGCCTGCTCTACCTTACCGTACTCTCCTTTGGCACCACGATGGTCACATATCTCTTGCATACGGGATTCGATCCTCTGCAGGTCAGCTGTATGAGAATCGGCGCTGTCCTCGCGGAATTGTCTGGCACATGGGCTGCTCCGTTCATCATGGGCAGGATCGGGCCCATTAGGTCGGGACTGTGGTTCCTCAATTGGCAGCTTGGCTGTTTGGCCACTGCAGCACTGGCTTTTGCCTTGTATGACTCGAACTCTCGGCTGGTAGCAGTGAGCCTCATCTTGGGAGTTGCTTTGAGTCGGATTGGTCTTTGGGGGTTTGATTTGTCGGTCCAATTTCTCGTTCAAGAGGTAATCGCTTTCCCACCTGAGGGCTGCTATCGGAAGTTGCTAATGTCTACCTTGTAGGGTGTCGAAGAAGATGCCCGGGGGCGATTCTCTTCCACCGAAATGAGTGTGCAAAACGTCTTTGAGATGCTCTCATTTGCAACCACAATAGTTTTTCCGCGTCCGGAGCAATTCAAGTATCCCGTCTTTATCAGTTACGGGGCGATTGCGTTGGCAGCCATATGCTTTGCGGCATACGTGAGAAAAGAGCGAGGACATTTGCTGCACATGTCCAAGTGTTGGGGTGGCGATAAAATGCGAAGGTCGTATCAGGCACTTCCCGGAGGCTTATAACACGATCCATCCCATTTTTGTACAGAGATATGACCAACCCTGTACATTCTGATGTGAACATACCACGGGGCTGAAAGATGTATATATATGTGCAAGTTGTGACACTTAGTGGAAATAGCCTATGTATGTAACTCCTCAGCACACCATGAAATCACCATGATATCAGGGTATGAATGCATTTTGTTATATCTACAGTCGAGTCTCTCAGACAAGGGAGCTGCTAACCTCAAGTTTGCCGTGGTAGGCTATCCTCGGCCTCGCGATGGTGGAGAGCGGGCCGTCCCAACTGCGGGGAAATTCAGTGCTTGTTTGTGTGTCTCGCTCGCAATTGCAACTGCGCGTTGCCCACGCCAACTGCGCACCATGCCTGTTGAGCAGGGGCAGCCGACTTATTATGGAGGTAAACCACCTGTCTAACTGTCGTTCATATTCTGGCGACCGTTCTTTGCTTGTGCAGGTTTCAGCTATTCTGACTGCATCCAGGCTCCTCCCAGAGCACGGGGATTAGGCAGGTCAGGTCCTCGAAGACGATCCGGCTGCCTGACATGTCGAGCGCGAAAGGTTCGGTGTGATGAAGCGAAACCGATCTGTGCCAACTGTACCAGACTTCGGCTGGGTTGTGTTTACAAGACGATTGTGCCTGCTGCGGTCCCGCGACAGGGTAATGGTCACACAGCTGCTGTGACGGGAAATCCGACCGCAAACACCTTGCAGAGACCGGACGCGAGCTATTTCAGTACGGTACTACGACCTGATGGGCAGCAGGCCTATCGACCGCCTCAACCAGCTGACGCTTCACAATTGCGATCTGTGGATAATGCGGCCACGTCACCCGGACCATTTGACATGCTTGGTTTCATGAGCGAGTTTACGTCCGAGTTGGAGCGCAAACACCTCGATCTGACCAATGGATTATCTGAATTTACCAATGCGACGTCTTCCAAGGCGTCAGACGACACTACAAATGTACCGCATACTGATCGATCAATGAGCTGGGACTCAAGTGTTTATTCAAAGGGAACGCAATCACAGTCGCCCGCTACGGAGGGTATGTGGCCGGAGACTGGAGCCGCGTACGAGGAGCATCTGCTGGCATATTTTCTCAACTCTGAGCCACCCGCGACGATATTCGGACCCGTGAACCTTGAATGGAAATATGTGCGTGAGGTTATCGTAGCGCAATCGGGCGACTTCCGACCTTTGCGGAATAGCATCTACTGTTTTGCAGAGGTGCATAAGACCATCAAGGAAGGGAGCCAGCCTAATTCGGCATCGACATATCACCAGCAGGCAAGTTTGGAAGGGCAGTCATACATATTTGGACACGTGGATGAGCCAACGTTGGTCAAGGTCTTTACCACTGTCTTTCTGCTCATGTTATCTGAAGTAAGGCATGTCCAAGTTTATGGTAAAAGAAATTGACTAAAGGCAGTACAGTCGCTATCATCCCCAGACCTGGGCCACCATGGTACATCTTTTCTCCACTCGGCATACCTATTGCTTCAGCGCTTTCACGATCAGATCCAGTCATGGACTGGCTTTGGCCGCCTGGTAGTCTCCTGGGTCTCTCTTCTGGATGTGAAATCGCTGATTGCCGGCCGAGATGGTGATCCTTTGATTGAACTCGGCAGCCTGGCCGAGCTCTCGACCGAGCAAAACGAATCGAGCGGTGCCGTTAGCGGACAATTGTCCACCAACAGCGGTATTATGGACGATCGTCCGGTAGACAAGAAAGTGACAGAAGATTACCTTCTGGCGAAACCAGGCTATCTTGTCTACGATGCCATTGTGGGGCCCGCGTTTCGGTTCTTCGTCCAAGCCCAGCAAATCATCCGGCGGATCGTGTGCATCGACCTCCATCATCGCAGTCGCGGGACGCTGGGAGATGAATTTGAGGTCCTGCAGATCGCCCACAGAGTGGGCGCTGATCTGGAGACACTATGGAACTGCCGCCCACCGGTGCTGGACGTCTATGACCGCCCTGAAGAGCTGCTTGACTCCTTAAGTCAGTCGGTCGCGGATGAGGTATGCCGTACATTCCGACAGTATGTGGCCAACTTTCTGGCGATTTTCATCTACCTGCACCGGGTAGCATTTGCCATTTATCCGCGGACTGACCGTGTCAACCGCGCTGTGGATCAAATCATCCAGCTGGCGACGGTTGAGTCGGCGAGTACGCTGCGACACCTGCCGGTCAGCTTCTTTTGGCCGCTTTTTATAGCCGGCCTGGAGGGTACGTTGACTCAACGCCGGTGGATTGTGCAGGAGATGCAGCGCATGGTGGCCTGTGACAGCGCTGTGACGCAGCGGCATCCCAACGCAAGCAAAGTGCTGTTTCTTCTGGAGGAGATGACGCGTAGACAAGATGCGTCCCGAACCTGGGCAGACTCGCGGTGCGTGAGGCGCGAACTCTTTACTGATTTTTATGTTCTGATATAGCTTGATATGGATATGCGTCAAGAAGAATCTTTACGGTATGTTTGACGGTCAGCGGAGCCGTTACTTGCGCGCAAACTACATGGAGATTGCTGCAGACGAGCGTTCATGTTGACCGCATGGTAAAATTTTCATACAGCGAGGGAATTAGTCAGTCACAAACTAAAACTGCTTGACCACTCTCTGGAACCGCTGTGGCTTCCGCGTGAACTTTTCAGGCTCATCACGAGCCCCCTTCTTCCAGTAATCATACTCCATCCAGGCATTCTCCGGCATCTGCGCTTCGGTCGCCTCGATAAAGTCACCCAGATCCGGATTCAGAGGAATCACACCCGTCTCGATCACGTACTGATCCCACAGTTTCAGCAACTGCTTCAACCGCTCGGGATGAACGTCCGCCAGGTCGTGCACCTCGCCCGGGTCGTCGGCCAGATTGTACAGCTGCCATCGCTCGGGCCCTTTGGGTTTCGGAATATATACGATCTTCCAGTCACCGAACCGAAGCGCCGCACGGCCGCAGGTCTCCCATCCTTGGATGAAGTCCTTCTCGTGAATCCGTTCCGACTCGCCTCGTGCCCACGGGTAGAAGCTCTTGCCGCGCATGGGCACCACTTCGCGGCCTTGGTACGTGGGAGCCGGATGCCTGACTCCGGCCATGTCAAGGATAGACGGTGCGAGATCCATGACCGTTGCGAACTGGTCTGTAATCCCACTCCGCGCCACAGACACGTTGCTGGGGAACCTGGCCAGGAAGGGGACGCGGACGCCGCCTTCGGTGGTGTAGGCTTTGTACAGACGGGACGGGGCGGTGGCGGCCTGCGCCCAGCGCGGCCCGTACCAGATGAACGAATTGGCATTGCCTAGATTCTCGAGGCTGTTGTCGTAGTATTTCTGCAGATGGGGCATGACGCCGCTCTGGACCATGGGGTAGGCCTCGTAGGCGGCGCCCTCGGCGCCGTTGTCGGACATGAAGCAGACAAAGGTGTTGTCCAGCTCGCTGATGGAGGCCAGGTAGTCGACGACCTTGCCGACGTTGGCATCGATGCACTCCACCATGCCCGCATAGACCTCCATGGCGATGCAGGACTTCTTCTTCTCCTCCGGGGTGTAGTCGGCCCATTCTTTGACCTCGTCCGCAACGACGGGATGCGGCTCCACGTCCGGACGGATCATCCCCAGCTCCTTGAGCCGCTGCAGTCGCTTCAGGCGCAGCGCATCGGGTCCGTCGTCGTAGACGCCGCGGTAATGGTCGATGTACTTGCGGGGCGCCTGGAGCGGCCAATGCGGGGCCGTGAAGGGCAGGTAGGCAAAGAAGGGGCGCTCGTCCTTCCTCTCATGCCAGTCGGAGAGATACTGGAGCATCTTTTCGCCGTATCCATCGGACGAATACCACCCCTCCGGCAACCGCTTCACGTAGTGATCATCTTCCATGTGAAGGGCGATGTAGCTCGCTTCGAGGAAGGTAGGCGTGTCATCGGACCCCTGCAGCTGGGGCTCGTAGGCATAGTGGTTCGAGCAAGCAGGCAGATGGGCAAAGGAGCGCTCGAAGCCTCGCTTGTGCGGCGATCGTTCGGGAGTGAGCCCCAGATGCCATTTCCCGGACATGACGGTGTGGTAGCCCGCATCCCGCAGCAACTCGGGGAGCGCAACGACGCGCTCGTTCAAGTATCCCTCATAACCTGGCATGCCGCGCTGAGGCGCCGTGCTCATCTGGGACCCCTTGGGTCCGTTCTGACCGGAGATGTTGGTCCATTCGATCAAGTTGCCAAGACCTGCGATGTGGTGGTCTGTCCCGGTCATGATCATGGCGCGGGTGGGACTATAGCGGTTACTCCAGGGTCAGGGGCGCTCTGTAATGCTAGAGAAAAGGCACTCACGAACAAGCAGCCGCAGCATGAAAGTCTGTGAAACGTACTCCTCCATTGAGAGCAAGACGATCGATATTGGGTGTGCGGATTTCTCCCCCGAAGCAGCCTACATCGGAGAAGCCCAAGTCATCGGCGACGATGACGAGGAAATTGGGACGTTTTTCCATGATAGAGCAACAGCAGACGGTATGAAACACGGAGATGAGAAGCGAGGTAGAAGGGATAGTGAGGGGAGAGCAGCGTAGCCATTATGTATCAGCTCAGCCACCAGTGTGGTTGTTGTCGCTGTATCTCACAGACCAATTGAGATGCGTATTTAGTTAACTTGATAATCCAAGACAGTCCAGTAGGACTACATGCCGGACGATGTTTCATTTGACGACCACCGGCCGTCGGCTGTCGGCTGTGTAGCCACTCCAGGATTGTACCTGGACATTTGGCTATTGAATGTTCCTTATTATTATTGGCTCATTAGACAGACTTCCCTTAATTAACCATCAAAACTTCATGGTACAAAGCTTTGAGTGGGGTTCTATCCCCTGTCAATGAGAGGACTGCGGGGAGTCCGGATTCGGCAACCAGTGACGCCTCAGATTGTCCATACAACATCCACGCAGCTGCAATATGCATTGCTCTTGTCTGTTATCCTCTTGTTTTCTCCATCAGACTGCATCTTCGACAGTCCATCATGGCGTG